CAAAACAAAACAAAACGAAAGCAGAAACAAAATAGACAAACAAACAAAAACCCTTGGATAGAATAAGAAGCTAAAACTACAATTACAGATCATTTAGAAAATACCAAAAATAAGAATGCGACATATAAAAACTTGGGAAATATGGCCAAGCTATATATAGTCAATGAAATTTACTTTACATGATTTTGTTATTAATTTTTAAAAATTAAAATAAATGGCAAAGCATTTACTTCTATAAATTAGAAAGAGTAAAACAGAATAAATTTTAAAAAGCAGAAATTATTAATAAAGGAGAAATCAATAAATCAATAAATTGTGGGGGGAGGGGGACAAGGGCATTATTTGAAACCTTAAAAATTGTACCCCCATAATATTCTGAAATAAAAATAAATAAATAAATAAATAAATAAATAAATAGTGGAATAGAGGTAAATTAGAGTTTATAATTAAATTTGAAAGCTAGTTATTTAAAAAGGTTTCCCAGGATTCTAGTCCAAGAATCTCTACACCAAGCTCAGGCTAATTCCTTTGGACAAATTCCCCTAACACGAGTGGAAAATACTTCAGACCTGCAGGTTCCTCCTGGCAGGTTTACAATATTAAGGTTTCCTGAAAACAATATATTAATCAAAAATAAGACACATAGACACACACAGAGCCAGATTAATCTAATTCCCTATTTGTCTAACTTTATGATAGTACAGTTTTACTAAAGGTAGATTCAATTTACATTACTAAACAGAATATTTAATATTCTAGTTTTAAACTTATGAATTCAGATTTAAATGGCCTTACAGTCACTTCTAAAAATAGTAAGTGGTTACATATAGCGTATTAGTGTGGAAAACTGCATAATAAATGCTCAAAAGCAATTTCGCACCTCCCTGGCTTCACATGTCTTACCTGGCTCTCATTCCAGCCACTGCTATTATGAACAGTTCTGCACAGACTCCGACCCAGTTCATGCAGGTGCAACCTGATAGTGATTTGTGTGGGTCCTGTGCCATGCACACCTTACCTTCCACCCTGGGGCTTCACTGTTGTCACAGAGTAGCACATCACAGAAACCTGTTCCATACTAAAGCATATACAACCCAGAAGAACAGGGATTTGTCCCTGGAGGTAACCCTTTGACAAATGGATGGTGGGAGCCTATGGGTGGCTGTTTTTCCCTTTCTTCCCCAAGAGAGATGGTCCCAAGATGCATTTCATCAGGTTTCTAGGATGGTCCCATGAAGTGGTGGCCGACTTGATAAGATTCTTTTTTACTGCTTTTCCCTCCTTCTCACTTTGTTGCCCCTCACTTCTACTCTCTGGAAAAAAACATTCCCCAATAAAGTACTTGCATATGAACTTTTGCGTGATGTTCTGCTTTCCGTTGTTGATGTTGATACCAGAAGTCTATGACTGTTGATATCAGAAAGGGTCCCAGAAAGCACATATTCAGCATCAGAATGTAAAACCGGATAAATTATGGATCAGATGTCAATAAGGACCAATTATTTAGAGTAAGTGACATAGCATCACAGTTATTCATTTTGTTTAAGATATGACATATTTGGATAAAATATAGGTTGAATGTGAGGTAGTGGGTTTTGCCATGGCCATATCACTTGAATAGTACAAAGGCAATGACACTAATAAGGATTAGTAAAGTAGGCTAGCTTTTATCAACTTTCTACCACAATGGTAGGCAACTTAATATTTCCTTGTATTAGATTTCCTTGATGAAAAAAAATGATAGGTTTACAGTGTTCAACTATCAACTTAAAATAGCTGTGAAAGCTGAAGGGCCAACATGTAAGTTTTCAATTCTGAAGGAGACTCATCTGTTGCAGCTTCAGGACAAACTATTAATATATTGAATACCAGGCATGAAATCTAATTGCAAGGGTGTCATGATTGCAGAGGAAAATGAATATATAGACTTGAGAGTCACCCATTTGGGCCCAAAAAGGGTGATGCTAAGCCTGGGATAGATGTGTTTGTTGGGTGGGTGGACCTGATAATCTTTAACTCTGCAATTCCCCTAAAACATCCATGAAGGCAAAAGCAGGGAAGAGCAACCTGGATACCCCGCAAGGCCTCACTCCATGCAGGTGACTTACTTACAAGCTGACACAGGCCCTCCTTAAGATCCATCCCACCATCTTTCATTGCCCCCAGGCCAATAACAGGGTCAGATCTGAGCACAGCTGACATAAGGATGTACAGTCCATACTCTGAAAGGAAATAGCTTATACTTAAAGGAATTGGAGTACCTGGCTAATATGTACCATAGGAACTGGGAGAATACATGTAGGAGGGGCTTTTGATGGTGTTGGTCCAAGGGAAGAAATATAAAGTCAGATAAGGGAGAATTTAGTGAAAAGGAAAACCAGTTTTAATATACTGCTGGGATGCTTTCTTGAAGCCAAGACATGATGGGCCCATAGTAAATGAGGTTGACATGCCAGAACCTCCCTGGCTAAGTACTAAGAAAGCATTAAGAAAAGGGTCAGAAGACTTAGAGAGGTTGGAATGTTAAAGCAGATCAATTAGTAAGACCAGAGACCCTGATCCATGTCTACATTTCCTGGAAGGGCCCAGAGCACACTCCCTTCACTAAACCAACCATAATGCATGGGAGAAGCATGGAGGGAACACAAGGGATCTTTAAAAAGCAGCTTTAAGAAATTCAGTGAGGGAATGACCTCTGAAACACAGTGTTGACAGTAAAAGATGGTGCCATGCAGCTCTGCTCCTTAGGAAAAGGGTTGACAAGACTCCAGAATAGGAGCGATCAGGAGTTGGCATTTAATTGCCAAAACCAAGGTAGATGTAGCTATCAAGTCATAAGGTCAGGAAGTCATAGAAGGAATTTATTGAATGATAAAAATAAGACATTCAGGACCAGGTCCAGAAAGCACTAGTAAGTTACATGAAGAGGCAGCCTAGACTACCATGCCACATACCTTGGTTTTGCTGTCACCAATCCCTCAGCTCATATATAAGGTGTGATGAGGTGGGAAGGGATGATTCCTTCTAACCCATTGATGGAGGAGGACACACTTAGTCCTGGTGCACATATTGGTCAGTGCAATGTTGGTGTTGTCAAAAATGGACTTCTGTTGTACTACAGTCCCACTCAAGAGGGTTTCTAAAGAGCATTAGTGAAGGGAAATCTTTCTGGTAGGCATGTCTTCCAGTATTCTATTTGGTTATTTACTTTGTGTAGAGAAAGAAGCGGTCCAAGGTACAGATATATATGAATTCCTGAGCAATGTTGAATGGCTTAGATGGTTGTTGGAATTTAGAAGTTTAGACGGAATTAAATTGAAAGATCAAAGACAAAAAATTTCTAATGAAGAGGTATGTGGATAACCTATGGGAGATGACCCAAGGCCTGCAGAATTTTTTAGTGATAATACCCACCAGAGAGCAGGCCACTGCAGAGGAAGCAATCAAACACTAGGTACACAGGACAGTAAGCTGCACTCCTTGGCCAATCCAGTACTTACATTAAAAGACCCATTAACATAGTGTCCATGGTGGCAAAGATGAAGACTATCCAATTTTACAAAGTCTGATCTAGCTACTCTCATTACTGAGTGCCTAATCTGCCAGCAGCGAAAATCAATGTTGAGTATTCAACAAGGAACAATCCAATATGGAGCAATCCCTCAGGAGAACAGCCAGCCACTTGGCGCAGGTTGATTATATTGTACTCCTTCGCCTTGAAGACGACCACAATTTGTCCTGTCCAGAATGTACACCTAGTATCATAAGAGGTTGTCTTCTCTGTTTAAAGTGCTTCTTACAGCACTATAATCTGAGAGCTTACAGAATGCCTGAGCTATCACATGGTATTTCACACTACATTGCCTTAGATCAAGGAGCTCTTTCTTTATTGCAAAGAAGGTGTGACAGTGGGCACGTGACCATTGGCCTTACCATGTACCCCATTACTTAGAAGTAGCTGTCCCATAAGGCAGTGGAAGTATTGCCAAAGGTTTGGCTAAAGCACAAGCTTGGGGAAAACACGGTGCAAGGTTGGGGTGTTGTCTTTATGATGCGGTATATACGTCAAGCTAACAGCTAAAAATTGATGCTGGATCCTCGATAGCTATAATAGATGAGTCTCACCATCACCCCCAGTGTTCCATATGTGGAATGTGTGCCTCTTGCCTTCCACTCTGGGGTTCCTCTGTTGATGACAAAGCAAGGAGCACTATGGGAATACATTGGTGCCTACATATGCACTGAGAAATGCAGAAAAGTTATTCCTTACGGGGTAAACCTTTGACCAATTGGGGATGGGAGTAATGGATAAACATTTCCCCTATAATGGATTTCATGCTGTTCCTCAGAAGTTTCCTCGGGATCAAACAACCTGTCTTCCATAGTGGTTCCAACTTGATAACACTTCCTAGTATCAGCACTTTTTCCTTGTCTGCTTTGCTTCCCCTTTCCCCAATTTCTGCTCCCTGCAATCAACTCCCCAGTAAAGAACCACCCACAAATGCTCAGGCTCTGCTTTCTAGGGGAAATCTGAGTAAGATAGATCCTGTGCTAGTGGTTTTCATTAAAAAAAGAAAACTTACTCCAAAACATAATTAGGATCTCCACTGCTAGAAATAGGATTTTCTTTCTTTTAAGGAAAGCAATTTTCTTTCTAGAAATTCTCTTTCTTTCAAAAAAAAAAGTATTAAAGTACAACTGACATATAATGAAGTCCACAGATCTAAAATATATAGCTTAATGCATTTTTACTTTGTATATCCTTCTTAACAGTAAACTTTAATGATGAATTATATAATTTAAACTCATATCTCCAACAGGTGCTTCATTATGTGTAGATCTACTCTCCTCTCTGTGTAGATAAAATACTATGTGCTATAGATCAGACTTTCATCATTTCTCATTACTGCAGCCTTCCAACGGGCTTCCTCCAGTGTTTTAACTTCTTTCAATAGTCCTTCAATTCCACCAGAGAAAGCTATCTAAATGGCAAATCTGACCTTGTCATTCTCTGCTTAAAATTCTTCAGTGGCTCTTCATTACCAGAAGATGATACTGAAGTTCCTTACCCTGGTACACAAGGCCCTCCAGTCTCCAGTCCCCTGCTTACCTTTCTGATCTCATTGTCTGCTACTTCTTGGCAGTTGTTGCATCACTACTTACATCTGTCACATCTTACACTGGCTTTACAGTCCTCTAGGCAAGAATATCCTCTTCCCCATATTATACTGCCCCTCACCCCTGTTTGCCTGGATACCTACCTTTACACCTCGGATTGTAGCTCTTTCATTCCAGAAAAGAATGGCTTTTCAATAAAACCAAATGCCACATATTTGAATTTATGTGGTAGGGTAGAGAGATCACCCCTATAACAATATGTCTAGCTTTCCACCTGTGTAACATTCAAACATCTGCTATTGAGTGATTAAACTGCTCTGACGCAGGCACTGTGCTGGCCTGAGGCCTGGCGCTCTAAGGTGTCCTGGTTACCGATAGCTCCCTCAGTCAGTGTTGGGCCATTCTCACTGACGGCTCATGGTACCACAGGCCCCAAGCTACTGGGTTCTAGTTTTCCATTTCCCTGGTATTTGGTCTTAGTTATTACCTAGTTTTTCATGTCTCTCCTTAGAATTCTAGTTCCCCCAAAGTCTAGGTCTTCTTTCCTTTATCTTCGTCTTCTGGAGACTAGGTTTATGATCCCAGCTGGCTGCCTTCCAACCGAATCTAAGTTGATTGCCTGACCTCTGAATCTCTGTGAGTCAATCGCCCCAGATCTGAGGCTTGATTTGGACCAAAGGTACGTGTGTGCTGTCTGTCCTTCCTGCACCTTGGCCTGGCATGCAGTTTTGGACCTCCCTCCAGACTTGTCTCATGTAGATTTGCCTGGACTTACAATCCTGACCTTCCCCTGGCCAGTTGCGTCATCACTCTCAGGACCTAGGTTAGAACTCCCTCCAAACTATCAAACTTTTGTGTAAATCCATAGTTTATTACACTGAGTTTTCTTAAAGTGAATTATACTTGTGATCCAAAGCTGAAACAAGTACAGGAGTGAATTTGGAGGTGCTATTCTCTCTGAGTGGACCCAAACAATTCAGAACTTCGTATTATGTAAAACAATTTAGAGTCTGGTATAAAGCATCTCTTAGAGACCCACTGGGTGTCAACAAGTTCTCTGACATCAAGGACTTCACAGTTTGGTTGGGAAGGCCAACAGACAAGCTTTTATGAAGTCATCAGAAAGTACATTTACATGGCAACTACTTCTTAGTTTATCCACCTCCTCTAGCTACCTGCCTCAAATTATTTCCTTAGCAAGATTGACTTAGCTTATTCAAATGCCCTAAAATGCAAACCAAACCATTTTGCTTCTCTAAAAATCCATGGAATAATATATCAAATTATATTATTATTATTAGGAACACCAAATTTGTTCCTATCAAGGAAAAGAAAGATGAAATTTTGTCACATAATAAGACTTGGACATTATACATTTATATAAATTAGTAATATATTCTTTGTTCAGGTGTCTCCATCCTTCCCTCAAGTAATAAATGATTTCTAAGTTGAACAAGACCTCTTTCTTGTGCATAGGATAATATGTGGTACTTCATCATGTGTGGCTGGCCTCTGCCTTTATGGATATAGTGAAATTTGCCTGCTCCAAGATCTCCCTCCTTGCCTCTCCTCTTTTTAATTCCATGGAAATATAACCTGGGGATAATATGGATGTCCAAGCTATTTTCTCATCATCAGTAATTTCTAAATCACAGCAGGCAAATGCCCAACCAAGTCATCTTTGGATATTTGGCTATCTTTAAGGGAACCCTTTTGCCTTAACTTCCTTATTATTGGTTAGTTGTTATAAAGTCTAGCAAGACACTGAATTGTTTGATCTGCAGCTTTCCATAGAAGAGAACTGTGTTTTGCTGAGTAAAGTGAAGCATGCTGCATTCTCTATGCGGAAGATGGGGTATTGATTTTTTTTAAATAGTATTTGGTTTGAGGGTATATTTTACTGTTGAATTATTGTGTTTCTTTGAATTGAACACTTCACAAATGGATTTGAGATGGCCTTTTATGGATTGAAATTCTTTAGAACAGTACATCATCTATAACAGCAAAATAAATCACCAGTATGTGAATAAAATATTGATTATATATTCCTTTTCCCCATTAATTTGAACTTTACATCTAGTATTTCAATTTTTCTGTAATGAGATGGCGTTATATCAACATTGATCATAGCCTAGAAATTTTTCAATTAAAATTCCAAAGTAAAAAATGTATTCTTTGTTTCAGGAAAAATAGACCTAAAACAGAAGCTATAGTAACATTCTCAAAATAATTTGTTTAATGTCAATGGCTTACTGGTGGCTTTTTCATGCGCTCAGAAAAATCTCATTGGAAAAGTATTCATCTCATGAGCTACCACAAATAGCTGAGAAAATAGAGTTTAGGCTGACTTTAAGTATTAGCTCTTGATTCACTCAAAAAGAGGAATTTGAAAACATCCATAAAACTTATCTTTATTAAGTACTAATAGAGAAGATGTAATAAGTACTATGGAGAAAATACTTAACTCATGTCTCCCACTTAGACTGCGTTGAAAGGACTCTTTTGCATATTGTGCTTGCAGTCAAGGGTCCTGGGAATGTCACTGTTGTCATCCTCATGGTCATCACCAGCATCACCACCATCGTGCACCCAACTATAAGGTGGCATAGCAAGATGGAATCTTGAGATTTTCAAGGAGGTATTTAAAGAAAGAGGGCATAGATATAGTTCCAAATATAGTTCCAAAGACAGAAGAAAGGAACTGGCAGCAGATCAAAGCTGGGGTTAGTTACCAGGTGTCCAATCTAGATCTATTAAGTGTGCAGTGAGAGAATCACAGCTGACTACTGTCCGTCCTGTTTCTTGATTTTAGAACCACTGCTCTTTAACAGCGATTATCAACAATAACAGGATATAAAGGCTAGTGTGCAAATATATTTACATTTTAGGAGAACAAAAGAAAATGATACCAATGGTAAAAAAAAAAAAAGTCATGTGAAAGAAAAATGAAAGAGATTGTCATAAAAAAAAAGGCTAGAGTTGGAGTTAAACCGTCTATTGCAGGGGTCCTCAAACTTTTTAAACAGGGGGCCAGTTCACTGTCCCTCAAACCATTGGAGGGCCTTTGGAGAGTGCGGCGCACATTCCACACATGCACACTGTGGGCCAGGGATGAGTAGGCTGCTAAGCAGGACAGGCAGCGGTGGCAAAAACACCCAGAGGGCCAGATAAATGTGCTAGGCGACCCGTATGTGGCCCGCCTGCTGTAGTTTGAGGACACCTGCTCTATTGGATCACACATTAGATTAAATTATCTACTCTTTAAACCAGGCTTTTGTGGTGTGGATACTATTCATCCTATTTTACAGATGGGGAATTGGGCTCAGAAGGTTTAAGCAGCATGCCCAAGATCACTCAGTTGGGAATAGTAAGACAGAATTAAATACCAAATTCATTTGATACTAGGCTTGTTTGTTCTACTACAGATGTCAGGGATTCTCAAACACAGCCTCATGGCTACTATCACCTGAGGATCTCTGAAAAAGTACCTCTGCCTGAGCACCACTAGGGTCAATTGAACATGAATCTGTAAGGGAGCCAAACATCAGTACTTTTAGAAAGCTCTCCATGTAATCATGATGTGTAGCCAAGGTTGAAAACACTCTACTAGCAGAAGGCTACCTAAATGGTATGAACTAAGGAGCAGTAAAAAGGCCACCTGTCCAGGACATAAAATAACCAATGTTTATAAAGACTGTATTGACAGAACTCCTGTAGCAGCCAAAACAAATATTTTCGGCCAGAAGCATATCAGCAGATGATTCCTTTCAGCAAGTTTACAGCTAATTCACATCCCCAAAAGGAGGTTGAAAAACAATGATAAGTGACTATAACTTCCTGATAAAAACTTAGGATTGCATAGATATTTCCTGTAGGAAATATCTAAGTTAATTGAGGCATAAGAATTCACTTAAAAGGCCACTGCAAAAAAATAAACAGCTTGAAACTTGCACTTTCACTTTGCAATAAGACCTCTTTGCTTATCAGGATAATTCAGTATTTAAAACCTTGAGAAATGTAAGGAACGAGATCAAGAGAGAGGTCAAGCTAGAATCTTATAATAAGCATATAGAGCTTATTTAAAGATTGGAAATGCAGGGCATTACTTAGGGAGAATAGCGATAAAAGATAAAGGTTCCTAACATTGAACCTTAAGTACCTAAAGAGACCTTAGGAGTGGCAGGAAAGTAGAAGGAAGACAGGAGAATGTAGGACTTGAAGCTACTAAAGGACAAAGTTTCCAGAAGTGGAGAGTATTCATCTGTCCAAACACTGCTGAGAAATCAGGAAGGATGAAGACAGAGGAATGTCTATTGTATTTGACAGTATGAATATCTCCAGTGACCAGTGACATTTTTGCTGTTCACTTTTTTCCAAATACACAATTACACCTCATTTGTTCTCTGCCAAGAAATTATACCCCCTATTGTGTTTGATGGCCAAATAAGTTGGAAATCCTAACTTGGATCAACTTTACAACCTACAATTTTAAAGTTCCTTTTAGCAACAGCTAAACTTTGATTCTTTAGTGAGGAAGTGGGACTAAGAGTCAGAAAAGCTAGACTAGGGAAGAGAAAAATTCGTATCTAATCTTAACATTTATTTTACTAATTTAGAAAAATAAATCAGGAGTCTATTTCTAGCTATTTCTCTTGGCTCAAAAACTAATAATAAAGTATGCTTTAGATTTTTAGTGCAATTTCTTCATATTGAATGTCTATAAGGACAAGACATACTCCAGAAAATTATGGTTGGAGATATTAATATATTTAGAAAATTGTGAGCCTAATGGCCATTATTTACTAATTTTTAAAAAGTAGAGTTAGTCATACTTTATGATTCTAATTATAGGACATTCTGAACAGTAAACAATAAAAGGATCACTGGCTGCAAGGGGTTCAAGGGGAGAGGGTAAGGGCTGACTCGGCGATACACATGGACAGTTTTAGGGCAGTAAAACTTTTCTGCATGA